AGGAATGGGGAGCAGATTTAGTTTCAATGAAGAGATTATATGTTGGTTTAATTAGATCTATTGTTGATTATGGATGTTTGGCTTATGGATCAGCTGCTAAAACTGAACTGAAGAAGATTGACGTTGTCCAGGGGACTGCCCTAAGACTCTGCTCAGGGGCAATGAGAACCTCCCCGATGCCAGCGCTTCAGGTCGAAGTCGGTGAGATGCCATTTGAACTGAGACGTTTACAATTATCACTGTCATATTATATTCACTTAAAGACACATATGGAAGATCATCCAACCAAAAGTGTCCTCGTCCAAACGTGGGAGCAAGCAAAATGTAAAAGAGAGTCGTTCAGTACAGGTATACACGAAAAGGCAAAGCAAGCTGCAATAGACAACCTGGAACTAAGCTCATCAGTGATTTATCCACCGCATCCCCCATGGCTGCTGCCAGTTCCATATGCAGACACGTCCTTGCATGACAAGTTGAGAAGCTTTCAGGGAGATAGTGGACAGTTGGCTATGATGTATGTGGATAACCACTATGGATATGTGCAAATTTTTACTGATGGATCAAAACAACCAGATACAGGGAAAGTAGCAATAGCATATGTGGTACCAGAGTTTGACATAAAGTTTTCTGCAAGAGCCTCAGATCACATATCAGTCTATACAGCAGAGTTGATCGCTATTGTTATGGCACTACAATGGGTAGAACAAATTAGACCGCTAAGAGTTGTAATATGCTCTGATTCATTGTCAGCATTAGAGAATTTTAAATCTGGTAATGTAAGTGAAAGATATGACATAGTGTGTGAGATATTAACTTTGCTGCATAATATTGAGACTGGGGGAACACATGTTAAATTTGTTTGGGTTCCGGCTCATGTAGGTCTGATGGGAAATGAGCTGGCAGACAAATTTGCTAAACAGGCCTTGAAAGCAACAGCTGTATCTGTAAAGTGTAAAGTGTCGAAATCAGAGGCAAAGTCAATCATAGTAAAGCATGTCAAAGGATTGTGGCAAGAGAAATGGGAGAGAGAAAACAGAGGTAGGGGTCTTTATAAGATAACTCCTGTGGTTGGTCAGGGCCGTCGGGTCATGAGATGTAGAAGGGAAGAAACCATTTTAACGAGAATGAGAATAGGGCACACTGGTCTTAATACCACATTGCATCTAATAGGGAAGCATCCGTCAGGAAACTGCGATGACTGTAAGGTGTCAGAGACAGTGGAACATATTTTAATCAAATGCAGAAAGTTTAAAAGAGACAGGATTTTACTTAAAAGGAAAATAGAGGATTGTGGGGAAAAGTTTACCCTAAAAGACATATTATCTAAAGAATCAGACCATAGAGTGATAACATATTTGTTTGATTTATTAAAACACACTGGACTCGTTAGAAGAATTTAAAATATGCATGCATAAGTTATCTTTTTTGTTTTAGGAACTGTAGCTTGCAAGCTACGAAACTGATTCGGAAGTTGTAAGCCATAGAGGTGACACATGCACAATCTATCTGGTGGGTGGCGGTAATGCGCTGCACTAGTTCGCAACCGCCGTTAAGCAAACAAAGAAGAAGAAGAAGAAGAAGCGGAGAACAAACATAAACAACAATGGCGCCGCGCACACTAACTAGCTTCGTGGGCTTCCAGCGCGGCACAGAGGATAATTCTACACCTTCGTTCGTCTAAACGAAACCACGCGAAGCTCCAGGTTCAGTTTCCATGTTCACAGCTGCTGTTAAAATGCAGAATGATGTTGGTACGTTCTGAGTGTCTGGCACAGGAAGTGAGTACACTGCCGAGAGGGGGGCTGGGCACGGGGCTGGGGGTCGTGTGAGTGTTGTAAAGTTTCTCTGCCCACTACTGGCCGGGCGCTAGAACTACATCGTTTTTCAACCTCATGTGAACGCTGAGACATTTGCATTAGGAGCCAGGTCGTTTCTGTTAATAGCCTGGAAACGTCTGCGCAGCGTCTCAGTATAAACAGGGCCTAAGAGATGAGTGAGTGGGATACTTCATATATACTTGAGATCAATGAAATTGATAATGAGTAAATGATACTTCAAATGGCCCGCTGTATGAAATGTTATAATCTGATATGAATGACTGTTATGATGTGTACATACACATTACATATTTTCCCAATATTGTATGTAACTTTATTTTGTGTGACAGACATTTAATGACGGATATCACCAGTAAGAAGTTGCTAGAAAGAAGCAGCCTCCTAATTCCTGACCAACAGTTTCATCACATAAACATGGTGGACCAAAGTGTCTTTATGTCATGTATTTCCTGAAAGTGCAAAGTTGATATACAACAGCTATTAATTCGATGCATAGTTACTTTAATTAACAAGTCTAACAAAATCCATAATACAACATCAAACTATTATTTCCATACATTAATAGTGAAGAGTGTTAATTCAACACAAGTTGTCACATGCACAGTTTGCTGAACCATTTTTCAGCCTTAATAAAAACATTGCCTCTGACAATGTTTGACAATCTTCTGGAAGACGGGTTTAAAGACAGATTTTAGCTGTATGTCACTGAGATGCATCCATGTTTTCCATGTTTGGTCCAAACTGTTAGCACAGCCAGCACAGTTTTACTCTGTACCTATGTGACAGAGTGTTCTTCAGGACAATGTTAGTTATTCCCAGCACTTCATGTAACGGGCCATGGTGCATGTCATGTAAACAAGATCCACTGAAGGGGAAGGGAATCGTATTTGTATAGCGTTTTTTATATGACATAAGTCACACCCAAAGTGCTTCACACACGAAGGGGAGGGGGGTTCATTCACTCCATGCTGATGGTGGTAAGCTACATTTGTAGCCACAGTTTCCCCTGGGGTAGACTGACAGAAGCGAGGCTGCACACATCTGCGCCAACGGTCCCTCCGACCTGAAAGGTGATCAAGAAGCTCTGTAACACAAAAAAAATTAAGAGGATTATATTCATATCATAATACAAAGGTTTATTTGAATAAGAGCTGCGTGTCAGGGTGACAGAGAAGGACCAGTTGTTTGTTATATGCACAATATCATGTACTTCTTGCATAGTAAAAAGCAAATGATCACATGACAATTGCATTCATAAAATGAGCTCAGTCTGTCTACTTGTACAATCTTATAAAAGGCTACATGTACACCACACAATGGATCTACATAGCTTTCAATGGGCCTACTCTGTGTGACACACATACTGTACATACCTAATGATCCTAAAAAGTAGGTTAACACCGCCATCTATTGGAGTGAAGTTGTCATTGCAGTACATACACCAGCCTGATCCCGATGAGGCTGTAGACGTGATCAAAACAAGCACACCGGAAGCTGCCAAATGAGGCGGGCTTGACCTGCAGGATGGTAATGCGCAGACAAAAAACTCAGAAAGAAGAAGAAGCTGAAGATTATTCACTCCCACAGAGACAGATGTAAGTACCAGACTTTAAACCTCTCTATTCTCCACTAACAGACTGTGGCTTTGAGTCACGTGGGTCTCGGGGATTCCAGCTTTAACTTTGTTTGTGCCAAGATCTGAGGATCCTGTGTCGGGGCTAATGCTAATGCTAATGCTAATGCTAATGCTAATGCTAATGCTAATGCTAGTCGTTAGCCTCGCTGTTGTAAACTCTAGCTACTTCTTTAGTCACAAACAGCTCCACAGCTCACGGAGCCAGTGCCTCTGGATGGATGTGAATGTATTTATTTGACTGGAACAATGCAGTCAGAAATAGTTACAGACAGAGGTTATGACAGATGCTCATTTACAACGTCCTGTCCCTGGTTGGACTTTTCTACACTTTTTTAATTATTATTATTTTATTTTTTATTATTTGATATGGAAACAACATTTACATTGGATAGACCAGATGCACCGCCTTTAGTGTTCGAGGCATGCAGGAATACGGGAGCATGGCGGGCGCTGGGCAGACGCGCAGGCTGGCAGGTCCTGCTAATCTGCCTCAAAAAGTTATTCCAGCGCACAGAAATACGTCATATCCATTACTATTGTATTTTGTATGTTGTATAGCAACACTATAGCTGTTGGTGTGCACTGTGCGCGTGTGCACACCTCCTAAAAACAAATTATACAGCCTGGCACCAAGAAGTCAACTCATCCTGCACTCGGGTTACTCAGATCTTGGCAGCACCAAAACTCCAAAGGGGAAAAAAACCAAACTGGACCGCTTCACGGGGCTCACCTCCTGATCATTCTACTCCTTGCGGGAGATGTGGAAATAAATCCCGGACCTTCAATCTTGAACTTTTTTGGCACACCAGGCAACGAACAACACAGGCTCTCCCAGTTACTAGCGGAGACAACGCAATGGCCAATACAGCTCATCCAACCGTCACAAGCACCGTGGCTGCTACAACACCTTCCATATGTTCAACCCAGAGTGGGAGGGTCTCGGCTCAAAAGTGGCCAAAATGACGTGCGCTGACATGCTTGCAATACCACCCCGGGTCGATGGGGGTGGACCCAGAAGTAGAATTAGCCAATGCTAACATATAGCATTGGCAGACCTCTCAAAATCTTTACAGGATGGACCAAAAGTTGGCTCTTGGCCCAAAGCTCAGTTCCACATGTGTGTCAATGCTGAGGGGGGTGGATTTTTTTGGTCCACTCTAGTTTACTCGCTGTGAATTTTTGAAGTCTCTCGTTCAAATGAATGGAGCTGCGCTGGCTGACTCATGCGCAGATACGTTTTTTCCCAATTTTCTTGTGGGCGGGACCACTCGCTGCCATTTTGGATAGCTCCAGTAGAGCACATTTTTTGGCCCGTTAGTTAGAACGGCGGAGATAGGCGTGACTCTGTCCGTTAATACATACACAGTCAATGGTTCAACCCCATACATGGCCACAATTGCAACAGTGGCCTACATTCTTTCAACCGCTCCAGCCAGTTGACATGAACCGGAGTCGATGGCCTACTTCACAACAGCTATTGTTGCTACATCAAGTAAGCAGTGCGCACCTGGGCGCTTCTGTGGACGTCAAGGGGCTGCATCCTCCTGCTCCGGCGCCGGTGGTGCCCGGCGCGGGGCCTGGTGCCGGGCCGGGGTGTTGGCGCGGGGTGCTTGGCACTGCTGGGGGTCTCGGTGGCGCTGCACCCCTTGCGCGCTCCGTGCCGGCCACGAGGGCGGCTGGGGGACCTGGTGCGCGTGCGGGGGGCGGAGGCTGATGGACCCGTACGGTGCGCCGAGGAAGATCTGGGCCTGCTGGGTGGCCCACCCGCCTGCACCTCTGTGGTCTGTGCTGCCGCGGCGCTGGGGAGTCCGGGGATTTATTTATTTTATTTATTTCGAACCATGCACAATACACATTTTTACATATGTCAATATAGCAGACAAATAACCCGTACCTGGTTCGAAAAGGAGTTGGATGAAGCAAATGCTTATTTGGTTCCAACCCCATCAGACAAAGTGTTGTAGTAGTAATCTTTATTTATATACCGCCTTTTCACTGCACATCGGAGTCTCAAAGCGGTTTACAATTGTGATTTTTGGGATTGGGGTCGCCAGTACAGGAGGCACATGCCAGATCTATTGTACATATTTTTAGTGGTAGGGGAAACCGGAGCACCCGGAGGAAACCTACGCAGACACGGGGAGAACATGCAAACTCCACTCAGAAAGGCCCTGGTCCAACCGGGATTCGAACCCAGGACCTTCTTGCTGAGAGGCGAGAGTGCTATCCACTCAGCCACCGTGCCGTGTTTAACAATATCATGCAGTAGAATTCTTGAAAATACAACGGTACATTACAAACATTTATATAATACTACCACCGGTGGTATAAGACAGACAACACTGAACACACACACACAGGCCCAAACACTCTCCGACCCTACACCTCTCACCCACTACTTGCTCAGTGCTCAAGGCATCACTCTTTTACTTCCACATATTTGTTCAATAAATCTTTTTTTAAACATTCTTTTAAATGTGATCAGGTTTGAGCAGGTCTTTAATTCATCTGATAAATCATTCCAAACAGCTGCTCCTCGCACTGAGACACACATTGATTTCAAAGTAGTCCTACATTTAGGCACATACACTTTTTTAATGCCTCTAAGTCTATAATTATGATAAGCATCTCGATCGTGGAAAAGGTTCTGTAACTTAGATGGCAGAGTTTACAGATGCCCGGAACACTATTTGAGCAGTTTTAAATGTAATCACATCCTGCAGTTTCAGTTCTCCTTACTCTATGAACAGTGGGTTTGAATGATATCTATAATGGACATTTGATACAATACAAATAGCTTTTTTTTTTAAGAGTAATTAAAGGCTTTAAGTGAGATTTATAGCAGTTTCCCCAACTTCCACACAATAATTTAAATATGACATAATGAAAGAATGTTACAATAACAATAGAGCTTTTGTGTTCAGTGAGTGACTTGCTCTTCTCATCGCTCCAACACATTTAGCAACCTTTGTCCTCAGGTAACTAATGTGGGGTTTCCAAGAGATCTTTTCATCTATTATAACTCCTAGGAATGTATTTTGATTTACTTTTTCAATTGGGGTATCGTCAATGAGAATCCTGACTGGTACATTACATTTACAATTACTAAAAAGCATAATTTGTTTGTTTTTTTTAATTTAGGGACAACTTATTATTGTTGAACCAAGTTTTTAAAGTGTTCATCTCCAGTTACTGTGGCCAAAAGTTGCTCCAAGTCATCACCAGAAAATATAATATTTGTATCGTCAGCAAACAATATACACTTCATTACTTTAGATACTTTGACTATGTCATTTATATACATTATGAATAATGTGGGTCCCAGTATCGACCCTTGTGGTACTCCACATGTTATGTTCAGACACTCTGATGTGTGTCTGTCAAACTGGACAGTCTGCTGTCTCCCACATAAATAGCTTTTTAACCACTCATTTGCTGGTCCCGTTATGCCATAGTTGTCCAATTTGCTTAGTAAAATATTGTGGTCAATGGTGTCAAATGCTTTCTGGAGATAAATAAAAAATCCTAATACAAATTTGTTTTTTCCAATACCATTGGTAATTTCCTCAATTAAATCAATTAGAGCCAGTGATGTTGATCAATTTAGCCTGAACCCGTATTGACTATCAGACAATATTTTTTGTTTTTGAATAAAACCCCGGAGTCTTGTGTCATATTATTTTTCTAATATTTTGGAGAACTGAGGCAGAAGGGACACAGGTCTGTAGTTATTGAAACAGTTTTTATCTCCTGATTTAAAAAGTGGGATAACTTTTGCCATTTTCATTTTGGAGGGGAAGTGACAGAGTTGAAAGAATAAATTACAGATGTATGTAAATGGATCAGTAATTTAATCTGCAACATTTCGTATGGTTTTCATATCAATATTGTCTGTCACGTGATGTTTTGTTCTTACATTTTTTTATTACACTTAGTACCTCTCTTGTGTCAGTGGGACTGAGGAACATTGAGTTAGAGTTAGTTTTAATTAGACTCTTTAGCTGCTTTTTTATTGTCTGGTATGTGTCGAGCCAACTCGGGACCAACATTAACAAATAAATTATTAAATCCGTCAGCGATCATCTTTTTGTCGCTTATAATTGTTCCATTCTCCATTTATCCATGTTTCTGAAACTGCTATAACATTAAAAGGTATTTTAAATTGATGCAAATAGTCTTTTATTCCTTCAAAATTAGTATATAGACTTCTGCTGTTAAAATGCACTACAGAGACATTTTTATTGTGAGTGAATTTTGTGTCAAAAGTAACATCTGTATAGTACAAGCAGTTATTATTGATATTTTGAAGGATATTGCTATCTGGATCAATTTCATTCATGATATTTTGTGTTTTATAGTTTATATGGTCATAGAAATTTGTCATTGTTTCCAGGTCATGTGAGTTCATGCTCAGTTCATTATCCTCAGATTCAGAGGCACAGTCACTATCAGAACTATTCATCTGGTGTTATTTCAGAAACATGGATAAAGGGAGAGGGTGTTTGGTCATTGAATGAGGGCCCCAGACATACAACAAATACAGGCACAGCAACATGGACATTTAGGTGAGCAAATACACAAGCTCTCGTCTACACCTACACACACACATTCACAATCACACACTGCAAACATTGAAACAATAATCAAGAAACAAAGAAAAAACTAAATTAGAAAGGATGCCTCATGCTGCGTTCAGACCAAACGCGATTTCTGCGGCCAAAGCGGCGGGTCTACATTGACACAACATGGGGGACGCGCGCCAAGGAGCGGCGAGAGATCACGCGGCGCAATTCGCGCGGCCAGAGCGACGCGAATTCGAGCGTTTCGCACGGCGAGTTTTGAGATGTCAAGCGTTTTGACGCGCGTTTCGCGCTTCCAACGCGGCCGCCGCTAGAGTGGAACAATGTTGAACTTTTTGGGAGAATTCGCGTGTGCCGACCAATCAGGAGCTTTCTCCTACAGTGACGTAGTGACTCATTTCACTACCGGGAAAACACTGGTAGATGACAGCTATGGAGGACACATTAATTGCTCAGGTCGGTGCTCATTCTGAGCTATATAACACTGCGGACCACAGCTATCGGGACCGAAATAAAAAGGAGCTTGCTTGGAGGAGGGTTAGCGAGGTGGTTGGTGTCTCGGGTAAGTTATTTTAACTTTTCACAGTTGTAAATATTTCCCCGCGAAAAAAACTACTACTTTCCTGCTTACGAGTTGATGTGTTTATTCAATGGAAGTTTGTAAAAAAGCGGTGGAAGAATCTGAGGGACACATATGCTAAGGAGAGCAGGAAGGAGAAGGAGAAGGTGAAGAAGAGTGGTGCAGAAGCAGGGAAAGGCCAGACGTGGAAGTACCTTGTGGTCATGTCCTTCCTCGAGCCCTACATCACTCCCCGTGACAGCTCCGGGAACATGCCAAGGCGAAGGGCCGAGGAGGAGCAGACCACAGGGTACAACCACCCAGAAGAAGAGCCAGAGGAAGCAGCAGCAGCAGGGCTGTCAGGTGCTGCAGGTCGGTGTCATGCAGCAAACGGAGACCTCGAACAGTTGGAAAAAATACATTTCTTTCCTTTCTATTACCCACATTTTGCTGACTTTTACATTTATATTGCTTTCTGTGTATGCATTTCTTTTAATGATTTCTTAACATCATGGCCAGGTGAAAATAGGCATTGGCTATTTTCAAACCAGGATAGATCTTGATCATGTGTTGTGTTAAATTTCACTTTTCCCTTTCATATGAACAAATCATTTAAATGTACATAATAATGTACATTATTATGTACATATAAATGTCATAAGCGCAATGTACACATGATATGAAATAATTGTATTTCTTGTTTTCTTCTGGCGCAGACACTGCCACCACCACACAAGGTGAGACATCTTGGCCTGAGCTGCTGCTGCTGCTGCTGCTGCTGCTGCTGCTGCTTCTTCTTCCTCAGCCGGTTCTTCTTCTGTGAGGGCTGGACCTTCCCCTGCTTCTGCACCTACAGGTGTAGTTTTTTTAATCATTGTTTTATTTGTATTCTTATTACAGGACTGTTCATATAAACAAAATGTTACTGCATAATATGCCAAAATTACCCAAGGGCTGTTACATCAGTGTAGACGACAAATTTAGAGAAACGACAAGATGTCAAGGCACTACAGGTGGAAAGAAGCTTTGGTCTGATACAACACATCTTCCCTCTTTCTTCGATAAAAACATACTACTGAAATACCTTATGCTATAAAAGTACTGAACAAATATATGCAATGGTTGCCACAAGATGGCAGCTATCCTGTTTAATGCAGACAAGAGTATTACTTTTTTAACAGCCAATTTCAAATTTTATTGCGAAATACACTTCAGAGATATTAGTTTGTAACTGTCGAAATTTGTGCTTGTGTGAGTAATTTCATTGATAACTGCAATGTTCAAGTTAATTGTAACACAAACACACAACGTGTTTTACATGTGTTTAACTATGTCTACACACTCTGGCTTTAATACAGATATTATTTGCTCTCTTCATTTTGCTTTTTTGAAATACATGTTCCACTTTTTAACACTGTGATTGCCCTGTGTTCTTTGAAGGCCCACCAAGGAAGAGGGCTCGGAAGAGGCCCACGTCCGTAGAGCCGCCAACAGAGTGGGAGCGGGAGCTGCTGGAGACTCTACGGACCAAAGCAGCCGCACCGCCCCACTACACAGAAGAACATCAGTTCCTGCTCTCTCTCTTTCCTCTCCTGCAAAGGGTGGCACCAGAGTAAAAAGAATTTGTGAAATTCAAAATGTACCAACTTTTAAATGAAAGCAGCACCGTTCTGCTTAATTTGGAACCATTGGCCAGTACAGTTTTTTTTACCTAAGGTGACACCTTTTGCAGGGGAGGAAACAGACATGTGTCCCTTTCCTCTTCCACCGCACCTCCTCCAAGCAAGCTCCTTTTCATTTGTTTATATGTACATTTAATTTATTTTTCATTGTTTGTTCCTTTTTTTATAAAGAAAATATTTTTCAAATCTCATGTGTTCTACTTCAAGCCAACCATTACTACCTTTCATATAATACTGACAGAAAATGCTATTCTATATTTGTACATTTACTTTTATAAGAGCTGACTGGGTTTTATAGAAGATGGAATAACGAACACTTAAAGAGCGATACAGTAGTTGACAGTATATTTTATTCATTTCACCTTTTACTGTTTTAACAACCTTGTAATTACGGAAAAGCTTGAATGTGCATATGATTAACCTGAAGGTGGAGTGGAGTCGCAGTGGAGTCTGGCAGTCATTACCTAGAAACAGAAGGTATACAGGTGAATAGAATAGTGCAAATCAATATGGGTTTGGACTATGGCCAGAAAAAATGTAAAGAATTTCATATTCAAGAGGCTCAGCACATTATATGTTAGGAATGAAGTTAGGCTCTTTGTATTTTGTGGGTGGCTCTGAAAAGAGCCGTTGTGGGTCAGTCTTGTGGTGGACATGACTACTCTGTGGGCTGCCACGGCAGTGCTCCCTCCTCACTGGAGTGGGCCATGAACACTTTCCTTATGTCCACTGCTTCTCTGGTCGCGTTGTTGGCGGCCATCCGCTGCACGCCTGGAAGTGGTTCTTCACCAGCAGCAGCTCCCCTCGGTGCAGGAACCTGCCCATCTCCAGCCATCCTCATGAAGTTGTGAAGGACACAAGTGGCCTTCACACACTTCTCCACAACTTCTGGGGAGACTTCCAGGTGACGGCGAAACACTCTCCACTGCGCAGACCAAATCCCAAATGCATCCTCCACCACTAACCGGGCCCGGGAGAGGCGGTAGTTGAAGGTGCGCTGCTCTGGGGTAAGGCCACCACGTCCAGGGAAAGGGCGCTTTAAATTGCGGCGCAGTGGAAAGGCCTCATCTGCCACGAACACATGGGGCTGGGGTCCTCTGTGGTCAGCTCCAGGTATGCACTGGTCAGGAGGCAGGTCGAGTGTGCCCTCGCACAGAGCCTCACCAAAGGCAGAGTTAGCCATGATGCCTCCATCGCTGAATCTTCCGTACCCTCCCACATCAATGACCCTGAACCTGTACTGGGCATCCACTACAGCCAGGAGCACAAGGGAATGGTGCCCCTTGTAATTAAAAAACATGGACCCAGAGTTGGGGGGTGCCTTCACAGCCACATGCTTCCCATCAATGGCCCCACAGCACAGAGGGAAGTTCCATCGGACCTCAAAGTCCTGCGCTATGGACCTCCACTCCTCTGCTCCAGGCACAGCTATGAACTCCTCCACGAGGCAGTCCCAGATGGCTGCCACCACATCTGGGATGAGCATGGAGACGGTGGATATGCCCACTCTGAAGCTCCCCGCAATGGTCCTGTAGGAGTCCCCAGTGGCAATAAACCTGCAATTACAAAATGATATGAACATATTTATCACAATTACATTCATAAAAATCACGTGACAAAACTTGTGTAGCATAAAATACGTTAAACTAGTAGACAGTAAACATCATAGACAGTAATCATAGACACCATATTGTTGCATAATACTGTTTTCTGAGCTATTACATTGTGGATTGTGATTGAAAAATGACACACTTTAAGTACTTAGGAATTCCGAATGGGGTAAAAAACACTAACCGCAGACAGATGGACAGGCGCTCTTCAGCTGGTATAGAGCGCCTGTAGTTGGTGTCCTGGTAGGAGATCCTAGCGCCAATGCGGGTCAGTAGGTCGTCAAACTGGGCCAGGGAGAGACGAAAGTACCGCTGAAAGCGACCCTCGTCCGAGCGCAGCTCCCGGAGCAAATGGTGAAACTCACCAAACTCCAACCGTCTACGGACTATCTGATGAATCCAGACACGTCGTCGATTCGCCCTTTGATGACGTTGTCTGGCTTTATTAATCAGATACAGTAAAGCAACTCCTTCGCTGACATCCATGTTGGGAAACTACAGGCAAAAGAGACAAGCCCCGCCCCTAAACGCTCTCAACGCTCTGTGACAGCGGCTGCCCTCTAGTGTCCTGGCCGCGCGGCCAAGTTTCTCTGTGACAGCGGCTGCCACAATTTGTCACAAGCGGCCCAAGCCGCGCGATAGACGCGATTTGGCCGCAGAAATCGCGTTTGGTCTGAACGCAGCATAAGGCACTGACTACCACCATGTCAATATTTACACTGTATTTTAATTGCTGCTTTTTATATATACATTTAACAAAAAAACTTGGGGAAAAAGTAACATTTTAGATCACTTAACAAGTGTAACGCACATACGGTCGTTTGTATGCGCATCTAGTATATTTGCGACAGTTCACTCTGTTGAAAGTTTTTACGTACGGTGCTTTACGGCAAACACCACAGATGCTAGGCTCCCTGGGATACAGCTAGCTACAGAGTTGACTCTCCATCAAAAAAAGAAGCAAAATTAACGACATCCAGAGCCGAATGGCTTGGGTCAGTCAACAGTAGTCCCCGGCCGAGACGGGTGCACATTTATGTGTTACTTACAAGTCATGAAAGAAGTCCTCAGCTTCTTTGGGACAGCAAAAAAGTTTTGGCTTACCCTCCATGATTACTCTCAGCGTGCTGGGGTATTGCAGAGAGTATTTGATGTCCTTTGCACGGAGCTTTTTCTTGACCTCATCATACTCCCGGCGTTTTTTCACCAGCCCAGGGCTGAAGTCTGGATAGATGTGAATATCTGAGTCTCCCATCTTCAGACTCCCCTTTTCCCGGGCGAGTCTCAGGATCTTCGCCTTGTCCTGGAAATTAAGAAACTTTACCAGGAAAGGCCTTGGAGGTCCACCAGGTCTGGACGAGCGGATGAAAGTTGGTGAGCGGTGTGCCCTCTCCACCACAGGCACCGTGGGAAAATGCTCATTCCCGAAGAGAGTGGTGATCAACTTTCCGATGAAAGCGACCATATCTCCCCCTTCTTCCTTTGCCGGTATATTGCAGATTGCGGAGAAGACGAGGGCAGAGGCTGCGGATCTATCACTCGCCTAACATCTCTACAACTGGACCCAGTAAGCAAACATCTACACACGTGCCTAGACATAGAAATCCTGTATTCAAGAAGCACAGAGCGACTAATATATTCCAGACTTTGAATCAAGCGAGGACAATATGGGACACGAAGTTTAGAAAAAAAGGACTACTCTGCATGACCCCCAAAAAAGAACTGGAACACTCTAATATTGACCTATTGGGGCTTACTGAAACATGGCTTACCCACTCCTCTCCAGAAGCAGTGGAGAGGAGTGGAAACAGAACATTCACTCACGCTGCTGTAAGGATTCTGGCGATTGTTTTGTGAGGATTCTGTGTGTTTTATTTGAGGCTTGAAAAAGTTTAGTTGAAACTTGTGACAGTAGTTTGGACTGGGCTCGGATCGGGTCAGAACATCCTGAGACTGTTGCAGATTCTGCCTCGTTCTCATTATTGTCAGTGGGGAGCAGCTGCAGCGGCTTTGTGACAGCTGCCGTAAAGGGGCTCCGAGCGGGGACCATATGCGGACAGGACCATAGACACGCGAACAGGACCATAGACACACGCGGATCCTAGACACTTTGACAGAACCACGCAGACCATAGACACTCTGACAGGACCATAGACAGAACCATTGACACGCGTTCAGACAATCCTCAGCTTGTTGCAGGTCTCCCCCGTGTCTTCTATGCGCAACCAAAACTCACAAAAATTAAAGCTCAGGTACCTAATTGTCTGTTTGCATTAAAAATGCTTGGTGCTTGAATATTTAAACTGCGTGATTGGATAGAATAATACTGGCATTGTCTAATAATACATGTATAATGTTCAGTAACTTATAAAGAGAAAGACATAAAAAAGAAGAGGAAAAGTTACGTAAAAGAAATTCAATTCATTTAATGTTGAAAGAATAAATACATTCTTGGTTTTCATCTAATTAATGAGTGTTGTTTGTTTCATTGGTGCCAAAGTAACATTTGTTTATCTTTTACAACATAGTGACTAAAATAAGTGTGTCATAACAGAGTAATCCAAATTTAACATGTTATATTTGATTGTGGTGATTCTATTTAGAATGTCTTTAAACCTGTTTTTCTCAGTATTCTGTTTCATAAAACCGTGTTGATAAGCCGGCTTCAGATAATAACTTTTGTTACATGCTATGAAAAAAAGGAAAAGGGATTTGAAAAGGGATTGAAAGCAGCTTTAAGATGGTAATCTTAAATTGGTCAAATTTCACCATGTGATGGGTTTTCCCAGATCGCATCACATATTGATTATTGAAAACTTCTCCCTAATTACCTTTTTAATAAACTGTGGAGCTGATAAAACAAGGACTAATTCTAAACACAGTTAGGTATAGTATTAAATATAAATACTTAATTAATGATGTATGTAATGTTCTCTACAACCACATGGCTTTATTTGCAGAGTGCAATGTTTGATGTTGATTTTAAGAGAACCATTTCATTTCTCACTTCTACCACCATCAATGTCAAAATATGTTCTAATGATGTCTTTGTTGTGTTTTTTGTAGATCTGCAGAATGGGGTTCACCTGTGATCAGTGTGGAAAGACCTACAGCTTTTCTTCCGGACTAAAGACCCACTACAGAATCCACACTGGAGAAAAACCATACGAGTGTGATCAGTGTGGAAAGACCTACAGCTTTCCTTCCGGACTAAAGATCCACTACAGAATCCACACTGGAGAAAAACCATACAAGTGTGATCTGTGTGGAACAGGTTTTACTACAAAAGAACATCTCAAGGTCCACAGCAGAATCCACACTGGAGAAAAACCATACAAGTGTGATCTGTGTGGAACAGGTTTTACTACAAAACGAGGTCTCAAGGTCCACAGCAGAATCCACACTGGACACAAGCCCTTCAGCTGTGACGTTTGTGATCAGAGTTTTAGAGAAGAGCGTACTCTCAAATATCATCAGGGGATCCACACAGGAGAGAAACCATTTGAGTGTGACCAGTGTGAAAAAATTTTTAGGACCAAATACCTGCTCTCACTACATCAGCGTGTCCACACAGGAGAGAGACCTCACCAATGTGACCAGTGTGAAAAGACTTTTACACTATTATCTCACCTCACTCGTCACTACAGAATCCACACAGGAGAAAAGCCATTCATCTGTGGAGACTGTGGGAAAGAGTTTACTCTGTTTTCAAACTACAGAAGTCATGAGAGCATCCACACTGGAGAAAAACCATTCAGCTGTGATTTTTGTGATCAGAGTTTTAGACAAAAGTGTACTCTCAAAGATCATCAGACGATCCACACCGGAGAGAAACCATTTGTCTGTAAAAAGTGTGAAAAGTCTTTTCCACGTAGGTCTTCTCTTCGTAAACACATTAAAACCTGTGAGAAGCAGGTGTGAAGACGCAGCATGTGGAACAAAGTGAAGGAGACAGAGCTGAGGCTGCATCATGTGACCCCAGAGTCAGACTCTGCAGGATCTCACTTCAGTCTTAAAGTGATAGTCTGGAACTCCAAATGAATTACAAATGTTAAGAATTGTATTAAATTGACCTCCTGGGCTTGAATGTTGATATAAAAAAAATCATTTTATGAATTCTAATATTGCTGGTAAGTCCCGCCCTCCCTTCTCTTAGCTATAGCTCAGAATCCACGATGCCGTCCAACGTTAACCAATCAAGTGATGCCAAGGGCTGTCAATCATCTGCCTCATGCTCAGTTGTTTGTTTTCACGGAGCCTCAGAATCAAGCCTTTATAGGCTCTGGAACGACATGAAAACTGAACAAAGAATTCTGAACATCCGCGCTGAGTTACCCATTTATACAGTGCCTTGCGAAAGTATTCGGCCCCCTTGAACCTTTCAACATTTCGCCACATTTCAGGCTTCAAACATAAAGATATAAAAATTTATTTTTTTGTCAAGAATCAACAAGTGGGACACAATCGTGAAGTGGAACGAAATGTATTGGATAATTTAAACTTTTTAAACAAATAAACTGAAATGTGGGGCGTGCAATATTATTCGGCCCCTTTGCGCTTATACTTTGTAGCGCCACATTTTGCTGCAATTACAGCTGCGAGTCGCTTGGGGTATGTCTCTATCAGATTTGCACATCGAGAGACTGGAATTCTTGCCCATTCTTCCTTGCAAAACAGCTCGAGCTCAGTGAGGTTGGATGGAGAGCGTTTGTGAACAGCAGTCTTCAGCTCTTTCCACAGATTCTCGATTGGATTCAGGTCTGGACTTTGACTTGGCCATTCTAACACCTGGATACGTCTATTTGTGAACCATTCCATTGTAGATTTGGCTTTATGTTTTGGATCATTGTCCTGTTGGAAGATAAATCTCCGTCCC